TTTTTCATTATTTATTTTCAGCTGGTTAGCTAAAATCGATCTGATTTGTTCCTGTGTTTACAATTTACCAACATTTTTGAGGTGACACAGAGGGTTTCTGCTCCTCAGAGGCCACGGCTGCTGCTTCCGGCTCTGGGGCTTCTTCTAGTTTTGGGATTTGTGGTTCCACAGACAGCATGGACTTTTCCTGCTGTAAAATAAGCCATGAGCTAAGACATGGCAGAAATGCACCATCGGAGCGGCCATGTGGGACATTAGCTGGACAATGCAGTCATCTGGGTGACCAACCAGCATGGATCGCACCTGCAACATGTTAATGTTATCAAAAAAGCCATCTATGAGGGGACCCACAGTGGCTGCGTTAATATTGTCCGACTACATTTTAATGTTTTTAGCTGCAGCAGAGTGAACGACTGTGTCTGTTCTTGTGCTTTCTCCAAACTTGAGGTGACACAGAAGGTTTCTGTTCCTCGGCGGTCACAGCTTCTTCAGACTGTGATGTTTTCTCTTTTCGGGGATTTCTTGTTCCACAGACTGGCCCCTGAGCTTAAAACTTATATGCTTTTGTTTTTTGTAAAGACCTCGTTCCAATCCATTTTATTATTCTCATGTATTCTGTTGACTGTTTGTTCCACTTATGCGCACCTCTGTATGTATGTTTTCTTGGAAATGTACGACTTTGTATGGATGAAATCTCACTAATAAATATCACAACAGGATGTTCTCATCATTTTCTACCTAAAACAGTTTGGATTGAAGGACAACTACTCAACACACATTCATTCTAAGCTGAACACATACACACACACACACACACACACAGTGAAAACAAGCAGATATCAGAGTGTGATTTTTCTTTTACAATTTTATTAGATTTTCTGATATTTTTTCATTAATTTAGAGTGTTCTAATCAGTAATTTACTGACTAGAACAAGACCCCAATAATCGGACAATTCCCTCTGAGCAAGCACTTGGCGACAGTGGGGAAGAAAAACTCCCTTTTAACGGGGAGAAACCTCCGGCAGAACCCGGCTCAGGGAGGGACGGTCATCTGCCGCAACCGGTCCAGGGGTGTTTAAAATTACTCTATTAGATGTTAAATAATTTGGCTTGTTTGAATTGTTTGTTTTTAGCCAAATGTTCTGTTGTTTTTACAGGGGGGACACCTGCTGTCTGCGGGTGATGCCTAAACTCCGGCCCAGAAATGAGAAGAACCTTTTGATGCGACCTGCTGGCGCCGCTGCCGATATCAGATGTTCTTTAAAGGTTTCGATGATTCTTTGCTCACCTACTTCATGGTTGAGATTAAAGAGAATCG